TAAAATTGAAAAAAACACGAATAGACTTGGAAAAAAATTATTTCTTTAATTATAATACATTTTTAACATCTTCTAATTATATATTTTTGTTGCATCATCATATGTAAAATGTTCTATATCTACTTTTTCATCAGCTATTATATTTCCGTATTTGTTTCGTTTTAACCATTTCTACCAACATTTGTTTCATTTTCATTTGTCCGTTACGGAGTAGAAGATGTCGCCTTAACAAGGTATTTGTCCATCTTACATTCATGCACAAGAAATGTAAACGTCTTACATGAAGAAACCTTACCTATGGTGAGCACGTGGTTGCAGAGAAATGTGTTCTGAAAGGGGTTCCGTGGTTCGGGGGAGTGTTGTTTTGCTGTTTGCACCAGTTCTGAACAATACTGGTAAATAGGGAAGCTAGATAACAAGGAACGATGTTCAAAATAATGAAAGATCAAGGAAGAAAAGTGAAAGGATTTTATTCAAAATGGCAAAATACGAAATTTTTTCCAAAATTTTCGCATTTTGAAATTGATTAATAGAGTGCGCGATCTTCTCGCATTAATAACTTTTTATAGCGAGAAAAGAAAAAAATATTCGAGATTCTTGCGCTGTAGTGAAAACACTGAGAGGTTGTTGTTCAACTTTTTCAAACTGCAGCCCGCCAGGTGATCAGTGACCGGAATTCTGGCCCGTGGGCTCTTTGCAGTTAGACAGCCCTGATCTAAGAGACAAATAACTGTAGAGGGGAAGAAAACTTTCGCTTTTTTTTTGTAATATTTTCATTTTGGAATCTTATATTCTAGTATGTGAAATGTTATCTCTGTTAATTATCTTAAAAATAATAGTTATGGTTTTGTATATTGAATGCCTAATACAAATTTATAAACTCTTTAATAGTTTGAAGATGATTTACAAGAGAGTCAAGAACCACAGACTGGTGATAAGAAGAAACGTTTATTTTCAAAAGAATGTAAGTTTGATTTTATTTAAACTTTAAATATTTTTTATGTCTCAACATTTTCGCTTTTAAAATATGCTGCTGTAATGTCTTATTTTGTTTAATAAATTATGCATGCTTAATTATTTGTATCTCAACTTTAGTACTCAAAATTTTTGTTTTTAAAAAATGGTAGTGTGATGTGTTAGTGTATTTAATGTTACTTAAATCTGTATGTTTTAAAAGTTCTGTGTAAAATGCTGCATTAGTCATAGTTTGTTGTACAGTTTATTTCAAAATATTTTGTTTGTAGAAGTAATTTTCATGAACATTTTTTGGGAATCTTTAATCTAGTGGAGTTAGTGTTTGAAATTATTAGGAGTCTCATAAGTAGCATAGATTGCATGTAAAAATATGCATATAAACTTGTAAATAGTGGTCCATAGCTTCTAACCTTTATCTGCTAATCAAAAAATAATTAGAAATTAAATTAAAATAAAAATTTTCATTTTCAAAAGAAACTATGTCATGATAGTTGAAATTAAATGTTATTTAATTGTAATAAACTTGAATTTTTTTTTACTTTTTTTTTCAGATTCTTTGGTTTCCCAATTAGTTTAAATGGGTTGTATAATGTATAAATTGAAAGCAATCTTTCTTATCTGTTATTCAATGCAGTTTACATGATTTTTCAAAACTCTGTCAGCATGGAAAATAAAAAAGCAACTATATATGCCATCTTGCTGTGAAGAATTATCTGGGCTTTAGAATGGACAAATAACTTAAATATTTTATAAGTTATTAAACTGTTTTAAAAATAGTCTATTTGGGGACATTTTCCTACCTTCAGGAAGACTTTAAAAATCAATGCCTTATTTTAATATTTTTTCTAATTTAATGAGCTCAAATAATGCAGCATTGCATTAATTTTGTAAACGTTGAAAAATTAGACCACTAATGCTTTTCATTTTCTCTAAACGGTGGCTTTTCTCCATATTTGTGTTTTAGACCAATTTCCAAATACTGCTGCAAGCTCACAGTAGTTTTAAAAATAGTATCTTATTCACATAAAAGCATTTCATAAAACAATAAACAGTCTAACAAAAACAGCCTTGACAAAAATATTTTTTATCTTTTATGAAAATTGGCTTTTTTTTTAAATGTTCCACTTTTTTTTTCAATTTTTAAAATCTACTTCAATGCTTTTTATAGGAACACAGAAATAAAATTGTGAAAAAAATATTATTTTTGTACTGATAGTGATTATTTTAAATTAATAAAGTATGCTACAATGTTTTAAAAATATCGTGTTTTTACTTCATAAAACATAAGAAACTTAAATTTTTTCCTCTCTTTAAAATAATGTTACGGGAAAAATTTTGTATATTCTATACATTTAATTTAAAATATATGTGATTTTTATTCTTTTAGATAAGTTATGAATTACACCATGTGTGCTCAATCTATTTTTTTTTTTCTTTTTTTTTAAATATACCTTGTTGGTTTGATTAAATTTTATTTTTCTAGGCTTTATTTTTTAAGAAATTTGCAAAAATAACTTTTAAAAATGTGTGCATTTTATTTTCTTATTTTTACAATTATTAAAAGTTTCCTTTTTTAAACAAACTTATATTATACTAACAAACATTTATATTTTAGTGCGTTGTATGATGTATGGATTTGGGGATGACCAAAATCCTTATACAGAATCTGTTGATCTTTTGGAAGATTTAGTTATAGAATTTATTACTGAAATCGTAAGTATAAAAATGTTTTTTTTAATTATTTGTTGAATTTATTAAGTTTATGAAAAAATTGTAAGTGTAATGTATGTGAATACCAATACCATTGAATATTAATAAACAGTTGTAATTAATCATCGAAACAGATTTTATTCATGTGAATAATGAAAGAAATTTTTTTGGTCAATAATTATAATAATAATTATGTTCACACTATTTTCAATTTTGGCTTTAATAAGTATTTCTTATTTATCTATAGCATCAGCTACAACAAATACAATATTAGGATGTTGTTGTTGAACAAAATGACTATGTCCGCAGAGTCTTATACCCCTTTATATGTCGGTTTATTATTTTTTTCGAGTGACTTTAGTTCTGAATATCAGGAAAATTGTTTATTTATTTTAATTTTCTTCTTTTGAAAATTTTGTAGGCCTGCAATATTTTTATTTTTTTTTTAATCCACAATTTGGCAAGGCAAATCTTTTTTTTTTTTTAAATCCACAATTTGGCAAGACAAATTAAAAAAAAAGAAAACTGTATTTTTCTGATGCTATATATCATCTAAATCTATGGTCAAATTTTCAATAAACATCTGATAAAATCTGGAAATTTGGGTACTAAAATTTAGGTATAAACTTATTTTACCCATTTTCTTCTGTAATTTAGGTTTTGGGAGATGTGAGCTTTATTATAGCTTTTATTTTTTAGTTTCTAGTTATTCATGAATTCTATGTCATAACCCTGAAAGAACCAATGCCGTTTGGTGCTTTTACTTTCTGTATTAAATAATGTGTATATGCAGGCAAATATTTTTTCGTTATTTTACACACTCTTATTTTTTTTAATATCTACTATTAAATTTTATAACTATAATTAAATTTTATAAATTTTCCGGATGGGTAGTGAAAATACTTTCAGATCGTTCAGGGTTTAAAGTCAAAGTGTATGCATATTTGAGTATTACATTTTGTACATAAAGTTTTCAATAATAACATTGAGTGTTACTTTATTGATCATAATTCCTGGATTTCATAGTACTGTTATGCTAATTAAAATTATATAATCATTTTTTATGGTGTCTATGTATTTTTTATATTTGTATATTTTGTGAAATTCCCTTATTTGATTGTTACTTTTTGTACATTTGTAGTTTTAAATACCAGTAAGAAGCATTATTTTACAGTTGATAGTGCCTTCATTTTATTGTAATGTTTTGCTCATTATATAATAATATAATAATTTTTATGGTGTCTATATAGTTAATGCAATATGCAAGCTTGTTAAGACATTATTTTGATACTAATAGTATTATGTTATGATAATTTTGGTTGTTGGTTATGTTAATTTTGATTGGTTAGTATGACATGAATAATTTTTGAAATTCCGATACCAATTTAATATTAATAGTTATTTCATACACAGAATATTTCTTAAAAATTCTATTTGTTATACTTCATTTATTTTATTTCATTGTTTTACTTCATTTTCTAAAATCTTAGTACTGTTCTGATACTTTAATATGAGTATAATTTTATTCTTTCAATCGTAATCATTTTAAATTCATAATGCTAAGAGCAATTATTTAGGATTATTACAGGGTTCCCACAGTCCTTAAAGTGCTTAAACACTGCTTAATTTTGGTACAAGGTTTTTAAATGTCCTTAGTTTTTCAGCATGACTGTAGTTGCTAGGTGTACTTTTTCAATTCACTTTTTTAAAACAAAAAGTTAATTTACGCATTGAGGGTGGAGCATTTTAGAGAGACAAGAAGAGATGTGTGTGAAGGCTTCAGGCAATAGGAATAAAGCATGTCCTTTCAGTAATATAATCTGCCTTTTGCCTAGAATGAGGAGAATGAAGCATTCTAAAACAAAAGAATAGAGTATGGAGGAGGTGGAAGAGATAGTGCTTTTTTTTGGGGGGGGGTGACAGTTCTAAAGTACCTAAGTAGAAAATTCACACTGACCTTCAATATCGATAGAATTCACGAAATTTAGTTCTACTGATAACACATCTGGCAGGAAGGAAGTAAAACCCTGAGAAAAGAAGTATCAGAAGCAATTTTTGAACTGGAATCTATAACGAAAACTATTTCCAAAAATCTTGAAGAATTAAATAAATTTGTATATTTCAGTGCGTAATAAGTTACTTTAAATTTATATAAAGTAGTAATATTTTTTTAAAATTCATGATTGCGCTAAAAATTAAACAGGGTTCAAAAAATTTGCTTCTAATAAGAAAGTTAAATATTTATAACTTGTTTTGTTGCAATGTAAAAAAAAATTTTAAACTTTAGATTTTCAACTATTATTTTTATTTCTTTAGGATAAGCTGGTTGTTACATGAAAACTTAAATCAACTGAATTAAAGGATTCCTAACTTTTTGTTATTAATGTCCATTGGAATAAAATTCAGGCTTAAATTTTAATAATCATTTTATTCAGTTAACATTGCAACTTAATAAACTGTTTTTTTTTGTTGTTTTTTTTGTTATTTATTCAATTTTTGGCTGCTTTGAAATTAGCTCTTTTTTTGTGTAGTAATATTGTGTTAAGTTAATTCCTAATAACAGTTTTAGCTGGAAAAAATTTTATGTAATATATAAATCATCATAAAAGTAACTATAACACATTTGCTGTTTAGTAATAATTTGAAAATGGGGTTAAGTTATATACTGTTTTCAATGTATTTTTCATAAAATTAATCAATATTTTTTTACAAAACCTTTCCTGATAAGGTGATATTACAAGATTTTTTTTTTATAATGAAAGATTACCACTTTCAGTTTCGATAGAAAAAAATATCAAATCATAATTATAGTGGAGAATAACAATAAGAATGATAGAGGATGATAAAGAAATATTACAAGTAAATATCAATAAATGATGAAAAAATAAATAATTTATCAGTATTTGTTAAATAAACAATCTTATCAATTTTCTGGAACCTTATCATTTTTCAGTGTGTTGAAACCTTTTAAAAATTGTTTTAGGCCTTTTTATTTATATGTTTCACCTAGAACTAATACAAAACACATTAGTTTGAAAATTATGAATCTTCTCAAACATAATTGTACATGATTGTTTCTTTTTTTAAGAAAGATAAATAATTGGCACTGTCACTGGTGGTATATGTATATTCGATGATTAACAATCATACTGTTTTTAAGGTCCTCAATTTTTCAAAAAAAAAATCCTTAATTTTTTTTTAAGGAAGTCCTTAAAAGTACTTAATTTATGCTTTGTTAAAAGAGTGGGAACCCTGTGTCTTTTAGCCAATGTAAATGACTAACTGAGGAGCATAATAAACCAGGCTTTTATTTATTTAAATACTACAGACAATTTTGTTTGCTGTATGATGATAAAGATGTTGTGATAAATCAATATGTGACCCACATCAATTTAATTGAGACATGATTTTTCAATTAAACAGGCATGCCACTTGTTCAATCTAATTAATTCTTGTTTTTCAATATAAGTTAAAAGTAATGGAAGGTTTCCACTTACCTTTCATTATGGGCCACCTTTTTTAAATCTGTATAAAACATTTATTGTTTCTAAACTACAAGTTGATAAAGATGATGAATCTATATAAAATGAAATGATTCATGATTTATATGAATTAAAAAGGTGATGAAAGAGAATGACAGTGAATTGAGGTAAGCTGCATCTTGAGTTCCATTTAAACTTTAAAGTTTTAAGAAAAAAAGTTATTATTTTCTTCTGCCCTTGCAGCAATATCTGGTTTTACCATGAGGGCTTGGGACACCACTGTTGCACAAATCCACAGAATCCGAAAAATTTGAATTGATCTTTCAATCTATTCAAATCAAATGATTTTAATCCAATTAACAATTCATTAATCACAGAATTTTTAATAAGATAAACTTGTTAAAGGGAGAAATTTTCTTAAAAAATGTCAAGTTGCATTTGGGGTTAGTGAAACACTTTATTTATGAAGTAAGTTCTGATTTAAGACAAATGTTAATCAAAATACAATTTTATAAACAGAATATGAAATCTTCAATATTCTCTTAGTATGGATTGTTTCAATTTGATGAGTTCAAAGTAATGACATCTTGAAATAACTAACAAAAGAATTGTAAAGGCTGAAAATGAAATAACTGAATGTTTATTTTTTAGTTTAGTTTAGATTTAACTTTTTTGTCAAAAGTGTTGTAACATATGTGCTTATAGTAGATACAAACTTGATCCTTGATCAACTAATTTGTAAATTGAATAACAGTTTATGGATTTTGCTTTTCATGTTTTGGTTAGGATTTCATTCAAAACAATTGTTTCTTTTTATCATAATTTTTAATGTTACACATACTTGTAATTTAACTTCACTTTGATGATTTAATTTTACTCTCAATAATCAATATAATGATCTATGTCTAATATATATATTACATTGAACTTGTTTATTAATATGTAATGATAACATTTTAATTCTCTTTTGTTGTAAAATTTATTTTGTTTTATAAATAAGTATTTTTTTTAACAAAATCCAATTGGGTCACAAAACCAGTAAAAATGAATACAAACTTAAGTTATTGATCCTTTGAACTAGTAACTTTTCTTGATTTTCAACTCTTTGTCATTAACGCAGTTTAGGGATGTCAACTATCGAGAAATCTAGAAATAAAAAATTGAAGATTGGTCCGGAATGAGATTAATATTTTTTTTTATTCTAAATAGTATATTTAATTGATTTATTTAAATCTTTGAGATTATGTATCAGTTTATTGTTAATGAGATGCATTTCTTTTAGAATTTTTATTATCATCAATTGTTGTTTATTATCATCAAATTGTTTGTTTCATTGAATTCTTATCCTTTCACTCTCAACTATCATTTCAAACTGTAAAATAATACTTATTAAAATTTTGTATTGCAGTTTTACTTTCCTTAGGTTATTTTCATTTGGAGAATTAATATTTTGACTTATAAGTTTTTTGTGTCTTTTAAAAGTGTTAAACATATTTTATTCTTTTATTTAAACAACATGCTAAAAAAGAAAACAAAGGAAAATGGGATCATAATATAAAGTATGATTTTTCTTGTAGTACGTCGCATCAACGTAATTTATAAGAAAATGGTTTATGTTCTTTATAATATTTTGCTTCGAATGCTATATTTTTTTAAAATTAATTTTCATGAGGTGATTCTAATAATTTCCCACACTTTTTAATTGTTTTCACTATTTTTGAAAGAAAATTTTTAAAAATGTATCTTTAGAATGCTATTAGGCAATTGATTCTTCTTTGGGTTCAATTTTTTTTTCTTTTTTTTCTTTGGGTTCAATATTATTTTTTTTTTATTTTATGTTTTATTTTCTTCTATGTACAGGGCATCTGTGCACCTGGAAAGTCATGAATTTCGGTATTGAGCAAAATTTGTCATGGACGGTCATGATTTTAACTATTTAAAAAAATAATAATAATTCATGGAAATTCACGGATTTAGGTCGTCCAGAAGTCTAATTTTTAAAATGGAATATACTCCCCCCCCCCTTAATTTCATGGTGAACCGAATATCTGGATTTGTAACAAAATCCTCGCTCACAGTCATATTTTATTAAAATATAAAATGTTTTTATCATGTTCTTTAAAAATTGTGATGTTCTTTCAAAAAATGAAAAAAAAGCATCATTTCTAGAGCGAATTTATCTTTTAGACTTCTGTGATTTCAGAATTTTTGTTATTATTTATTAATTTTTTGTTTTATCAATTTAAAATTCTAGCTGAAGCATGCCAGTCATTGTCGAATTTTTTTTAATTTCGAAATGAGAAAAAAATTAGGAGTATTTTTTTCCTTTCGGATGAACAAGAAAAATATATTTAGAATATAATTCTGCAGCAAGAAATTATTTGCTTTTGTACTTTTTTCAGCTATTTTATTGCTTCAGTTCTTTCTTTACTCTGTTTTTAAATTTGAAATCTATAAATATGAAGAAGCGGAGTATAAAAGTTTTAGTTATACCTATCATTTCAATTACTGGTATTACAATGCTTTTTTAAATTTATTGTTGAGTTTTTTTGTTTTTTTTGAGAAGATAATAACTTCTTAAGGTCATGAAAAATTCATGGAATTAGTCATGAATGTGGAAATCTAAAATGTAGCAGGTACCCTGTATGTATAAAAATAACCTGACTGAAAATTATTCTTATTACAAATGTTTTATACTATTTTACAATAATGAAATTAATCTTAGATTTAACTTTTTAAAGATTTAAGTCGGATGCTAACAAGTTAGAGTTTTCAAAGTGGCTTACTGAGATAATTTACTAATTAAGTTTTGTCAATTCAAGTACAATGTACTTTAACATGTCCTTTGGACACACTCTTCTTAAACTGTCAAAGTCATAGTGTTCATTGACTAATCAAAAATGTACCGTGATTTTACAGACTTACTGTATTTCATATTTAATTAATATGGAGTGGGTAAGTTTTTTATGGGCCCCAATTTCATAGAACAAATTTTAAACACACTCCTCACAAGTGTTCCATATATGCTCATATTGTTATACAGCATATATTGAGTCTGAAATGTAATTTTTGTGAAGGCTGTCTGTATCAATAATAGTGATAGCAGCTATGATATTGACTTTCAAATCTGTCATGGTCATTATACGTGGAGACCTAACTTTTACGATCCTCCATGAGGGAAAGTCTTGGGTTCATGGTAGCCAAGGCAAGACTGCATTTTTTTACAGCAGAGGTGAGATCAATCTACCATTTTATAAGGTGCTATTGAGGTGGCACTAAATTTTAGTTGTTACTGCTAACGCTGATAACGATTGGGCATCCGATCCCATCTTTTGACAATTTTTTTAAAAGTTGCTTATTTCACCTTTTATTGTATGCACATTTTTACAAAATACATTTATTACATATGGTGCAGTACACTGATCAAATTGGTTCAACTTCGTTCTTAATATCGCTGTATATATATTTACGAAAAGAAATTTAATTTTATTTCATTGAAATTTTGTTGCTCACATTCCACTTTTACTGCTATGAGTTTTTGAAGGGCAATTATTTTATCAATTTTAGACAATCAATTCAGACAGAAAATATAGCATTTTTCCTATTTAAAATGCTATATAATATTATATTGCTAAGAACATAAATTACTTCAGTATTACATTTAGTAAATTGAACCCAATAAAACAGCATTAAATAAAATAATAATATTGTTAATTAATGCTGCATGAAAAATAATCTTAAATATTTTCAAATTCATTTCTTTAATATATTTATTTCACATATTTTTTCTTCTTTTTTGCTATCTAATGTTTGTGTTATGTAACATTATGATATAAAAGAATGTTGCTAATTTTTTAAATGAAATTCGTATTATATTGAAAATATTTACTGCACATAGCATGTGTTTTTTTTTCTTTCCATTCTATTGATTTTTTTTTGCACCCAGAATTAAATACTTAAAAAGGATTTTAGATAATTTTTTTTCCTGTACTGCAAAACAATACTGAGTATCACTTTTCACTCTGTTTTTTTCTTGTGATTTTGCAACTAAAGGCAGTAATGGCAATCAATGACTGCCCTTAAGTTGAAAAGTTACACGCAATCTTTAAGAATTTGCCAATTTTTTTATGATAGTTTTATTATTAAAAGAACGATCTTATTTATAGCTCTGTTGTATGAAATATTTTATAATGAATAATAATGTATTTATTAAATCACTTATGACTCAATAATATATTTATGAAATCATTTATGACTCAATAATGTTTTTATAAAATCATTTATGACTCAATAATATATTTATGAAACCATTTATGACTCAATATTTTTATGAGGTTAGTATTTATCCTCAAAGGTTTAATAAAATATGAGTTCCTCTGCCACAAAATCTCCCCCTTTTTTTTCTTCTTTTCCTAGTCTTGGTAAACTCTTATGCTATTTGTTTTTGCTTCCAAACACAAATCCATATTATTAAAATATAAAAATTCACACATTTAAAGTTAAGCATTATTGGATAATTATAAAATATTTATTACAATCACTGTTAATATTTTGCATTTATTGATACGGTTTTCAAAACATTTTCAGACGCATAAAGCGATGGAGATAGGCAGAACCGGTCGAGTTCAGGTGGAAGATATAGTTTTTCTAGTGCGTAAGGATCCGAGGAGGTATGCTCGTGTGAAAGATCTGCTCACTATGAATGAAGAGCTCAAGAAAGCTCGCAAAGCCTTCGATGAAGTGAAATACGCTTCTGTATAATAAATACTTAAAGTGCTAAATTTAGTTGTGAACTAAGAAAAAAGTGTTTGTTCTGTACTGTATGAATTACAACTTACTTTCTACAATTTGTGCTGACTTCAGTTGTGAGTGTGAGAACTGGTGGTGTTTGTTTCGTACTTTATGAACTGCAACTCACTTTTATACAAATTGTTTTGCAAGTCAATTTCTGAGTTCTAATGCAGGTGTGACCTAATGAAGATGCTTGTTTTGTATTATATAAATTTAAAAGCATATCTTTCTTGAACTATGACTGAGAGAACTTGTGAAATGTAAATAAAAAAATTAAATGTTTTCTACACATAGTTTATTGTTTCTAATTATAGATAATTAGTATATGAAACAATCTTAATTTATGAAATGAACATTACTTTTTTTCCCCCTCAGATCCTCAGTTTTCCACTTTTTTATCATTCTTTTTTTTTTTTTTCTTCTCAATCTTGTCTCAGATTTTTGATATATTTCTGATAATATTGAAAAATAACAACACTAATGAGCTTCTATTTTATAATTTTCATATATATAAATGTAGACAAAATTAACATTCACTACAGAGCGACCACATTAGAAATTTTTTTACTAATTGCCTCTTGATCACTACATTTTTTGCCAAAGATGCAACTAAAATAACGCCAAAATTTGTACTTAAAACTTATTTACTACTCAGAAAAGCTGTAATCATCCCTGGAATATTCAGACAATTTTACTCTGATTCAAAATTTCAGAAAGACTGATTTCATCAAAATTTTCAGTTGATTTCAAGATAATTAAGTTCTTATTCCTTTTTTTTTCTTCTTAATTTATGTATAATAAAATTTAGAAGTAAACAAATTAATATAATTCCATCATTATGTGTACAATTATTTCAAATCTGATTTGAAGCTAATAAATTGTATGTTTGTTTGCACTCATAAATTTTATGTTGCATTATTGATTCATAAACTCAAACCTTTTATTAATTGAGACATTATTTTATGAAGTAAATTCAACATAAATCTGTTTGGAGAGATCAGTAAAGTTTTTCTTCATTTTTAAAATGAATGTGTTTATCTTATTGTGAGAATTGCTTCACATTAATAATATATTTTCTTTTTTTTAATAATAAATGTTTTTTAACAGTTTAAATTTTTGAAAAATTGGCCAAATGTTTTCATAAGTAGACTTTTTTAACTACTGCCCGATAACAAAATTTATAACAAAATCTTGCATTGTAAAAAGGTTTTATCTGAAATCCTCAGTTTTTCACTTTTTATTTTTAATAATTTCTCTACTCTATACTATATTTCTCAGGATCTTGAATAGAAACCATAGTTGTGTAAAAGAGCTATCATATAATGTTCATACTTGTACTTATAAAAACTAAAAATATGAATTTTAAATCCATGCATTGATAATGATTAAACTCAGTTGCAGACAAGTTGAATTTTGTAATGTGGCTTTATAGGGGTATATTTTTATGAAGCTAGGAATTTTTGCCAATTAAACTGAGGCTTTTTAGGTTAAGTTTTCTTATCTAGGTTTTTCAGCGTAAATAGTTTTGTTTTTAGTTGTGGTATCTTTTAAATATTCGTTATTTATTTCTAAGATGTGCTGTATTTCTCACTAAGATGAGCCTGGTGAAAGGTGCTTGTTTATGAAAACATGACATTGATGTATTTTTTGCAATGATTTAAAAGCAAATTCTGTTGAAGAATGAATTATTTTAACAAATTGACTTATATGTTCATATTTTGTAAAAAATTACAAAATAAAATTTACTTCATTGCCGTACAAAAAAAAAAAAAAAATCTAAGCAATTAAGGAATTGATTTACTTAAGTGTATTTTTACAAACATTTTAAAATTCATATTTTGAAGTATTTTTTTGAAAAAAATTCTAATCAAAACGTTTTGTTGAGTAGCCAGTTTTTCTCAAAAATGTTGCGTTGCAATGAGCAATGTCATAAATATTGAGAATTACATGGCAACTTATAATTGGAAAGAGTAGTAGCCTGAAGCAAAGTTAATAATTGTTCTTAATTTTGCAACAAATGTTTTAATATTTCACCATTAGTAGTATGCATGTCTAACACTGTGTAGCTTTCATTGCGAGATACGACTGCTGACTAGAAATTTCTTTGATTGTACCTCACTGAAAGTAATAATTTAGTAACAGAAAAAAAAAATTTTTTTTAAATTTCTTACCATTTAGAGTAAAGTTTTACTTAAAACACTGAAAAAGAGTTGCGCGAAATAATCCGAGCTCTTTTTGCAATTTAAATGTAAGTCCTCAAAAAGTGCCCCAAAGTATCTCCTTTTTACACTGCTCATTTTAGTTGCAGAGATAAATTTAAAAAAAGGGAACGATTTATTATTATTTTAATTTTGATTGAGTGTTGCGCTGAACATAAAAAGCTATATGTAGCACTTATGGTACTCTTGTTGGCTACCCCTGTTTTAAATTATGCTCCATTGTTAAAAAGTATAATGTTTGTTATTGGAGCCGCAATGGCTCAGAGGATAAAGCGTTCGTCTTCCAATGCTGCGAACCGGGTTCAAATCCCAGTCGATACGAATTCCGCATCCGGCTTGCACCGCCCTCAGTGCTGACGTGAAATATCCTTAGTGGTAGTCGGATCATGGGTTAGAGTCCCCTTGCCGTCAGGCTAACCATGAGAGGTTCTCGTGATCTTCCTCTCCATGTCACGCAAATGCGGTTAGCTCCATCAAAAAGTCCTCCACGAAGGCAAATTTCTCCTAATACTCTATCCAGGTGTTCCTTTTGTCTTCTGGATTGGGTTCAAAATTACGAGGCTATGGAGTTGAACATTGGTAATCGTAAACCCAGAAAATTGGGTCGGCTGTTCAACGACGATTATAAAATAAAGTAAAATGTTTGTTATTGAAAGATCTGCAAACGGTAAGTTTTTTTTTCCTGGGGTTTTTCAATTTACAGGGTACTCTTTAAATAATGTGAGCTGTTAAGATCCTGTAACACATGATGCACTGAGAATGTAAAAAAAAAAAAAAAATATTTGCTTTTATGTTCAGCAGAGTTTCAATTATTTCAGAGGTTCAATTTACTTACAGTTTCAATTTGCTTATAATTTATGTGGGAAATTGGTCAATTTATATGGTCCATGATATGGGAAAATTTTGAGGTATGTGTGATACACGATTATATTACCTATTTGTTAACTGGAACAATAAGTAACTTTTTTATTAATAAGAAGCGTTATTTATTAATGTTATTGAAAAATGTGGTGCAATATGATTGGCTTTCTTATTTTCTACTTATTGTTTACTGTGTATGACTTGTTAAATTTTTATAATCAATGACTTTGGATGCTATTTTTTTTTATATTAATCAAAGAAAAGAAACATATTGCATGTTTAGTGAGAAAATAATCTGAGCACCTTAAATAACTTTTGATTTAGTGATCGTATCTTCACATACTAAGACTTTATTTTAATAAATTGAGGGGTTAAATGAAATACTCTAATTAGTTACTGCACACGTTATTTTAAGCTACGAAATCAGTCATTAAAAAGTACTTTCTATGAAGAATTTTTTTGACCGATTTCTTTATCTTAATAATTTTGGGGGGTAGCAGCAATCTCGAGAGATACTAAACTGTTAATTTATAAATGCTTGATCAGACCTATCCTAACATATGCCTCAGAAACTTGGACAACAACACAGAAAGATGAGAATTCCTTGGGAATCTTCGAACGTCGGATCCTAAGATCCATTTTTGGGGGCAAACAAGTTGATGGTACTTGGTACAGACGTTCAAACTCACAACTCTATCGGGCCCTTAGAGAGCCTGAAGTTGTCAAGTACGTAAAAATTCAAAGAATTAAATGGGCTGGTCACATCATTCGGATGAACAGAGAGCGTCCGACAAACATAATCTTTTCGGCTCAGCCCATCGGATCAAGGCCCAGAGGTCGACCAAAGCTGAGATGGGCCGACTGCGTGGAAAGAGACTTTTCAGTCTTAAAAGTCTCAAACTGGAAGACAACTGCCAGGCAGAGACAGGCCTGGAGGAAGTTGATTGAGAAGGCCAGGGCCCACCCGGGGCTGTCGTGCCATTGAGGAAGGAAGGAAGGAAGCAGCAATCTCGGAAATGGTCTGGATAGTTGTTAAAATTTAAAACACCTTTAATATTAATTTTACTTTTCCCTAATTCCTCATATTTCGAGAACTGTTTAAGCAAGTTGAAAAATACTGCCAGACAATAATGGAATTCGTTTATCTAAGGATAATTCTACACTAAAAATAAATTTTAATTAATTTTATATGATAATAGTAGAATAAATTTCAATTGAAAGGTAACGCATTCTTACACCATTTTAAACAATGTTATTTTCTATGGCATAAAACGAAATCGGGAAAGCAGTTTTTGAGTCATCAAATTTTAAATAGAAAATTTTTCAAAATTGAATTTTTCAGGAGCTATTGGACCAACTTCGTTTATTTATTTTTTTTATTTTGCCATACATAATAACATTCTCTAAAATTATGTAAAAATTTATATACCTTACATTTCGAAATTTTTAAATAATTAATGAAAAATATTTTTTTTTTGGTGAAATTTTCTTTGAATTAACGAATTTTTTAACCGTGTCCAAACTTTTTTTTTAATTTGCTTAAAAAGTTCTCAAGATGGGCGAAATATGCGACATCTGTCCTGATCAAACTATTAGGATTATATTTCCCACATTGCGGCAACCCCCTGTATTTTGAGAGTCAGAAATCATAATCTTCCTTAAAAAAAGGGTATATTATTCAGAAAAAGTTCGTTTTTGTAACTGAAAATATCGTTTAAACTAACTAACAAGCATATTGATTGTATCCCCCGAATCTTTAGGATTGAGTCTTTGTACGTGAAAATCAGATCTTTAGATTAAAAGTTATTCAGGATATTTCGTTTTATTTTTTTTGTGTATTGTACGCATATATTTTTATTACGCTTTGTACATCGTGCATTATTTTATGCACTCCGCGTACTTTTATAAAGTTCCGGTGAATCAGACGGTTAAGAGGACGCCACACAGCGGAAGAAAATTTTCGTCGCAAATTCTCTTTCTCCTTCACTAGTAGTCCCGCAGTGGAGTGATCGTTAAGACACGGTTCCCAGCAGATCACCGAAGTCAAGCATCACTGGCTGCGGTCAGTGTGCGGGTGGGTGACCACTTGGATCAGTCTGCGTAGGGACCGAGGGTGTGCGGTATTGGTCCTCTTTAAACTGTTCTACCGTAAAGTGCTCGACTTCGCATGCAGGTCGTCGGGCTACCGAAGCTAGGGTGCCATCCCCTCCGCA